TCGGGTCCCTTATTGTTTAGTATCATCTTTTGAAAAAGTTAAATTTCATACCATTCATGTTTAAATTCGCTTCCAATTTCTAATATCGCAACAAACTCTTGACTCATATTGAAGTCTTTTTTTTTGCGAGAACTGGTCCCCTCATGACATTGCCGTCTGCGAGCTATGAGATAAATTCAAATTTCCGTTAGCTCACTTTTGATTTCATGAGGTTAAGAGAATTGTTTTGTGTTACATCACCGCGAACGAGAACTGGTCTCCATCTATGATATATTCATCTAACGAATTGAATGTTTGTCTAATTTCTAGTTTAATGAAGAGGAGATGTGTATTTTTTGCGTAATTTAGCTAACATAAAGTTTTCAGACACTCCCTGTAGCGGTAATTTTCGTATTTTTCATTGGACTGCACTATGCCTACTTTATTGTCTATGGCTTTGTTGTTCAAGCAGGTAAGAGCGATATTTTGTTCAATTGTTCCCTGTAGGAACACTTCTCGTATAATTTCAGGGTGGGTCCACAATGCTCCTATTCTGGTCCCACTGGAGGCCATGATGACCGTGGACTTTTGGTTGTATAGTGTTATTGTGACTGTGATAGCCGTGTTTCCAAGGTTTTATTGATCCACGTGATGTCAAACCTCCATTGATTTTATCGATTCTTTTCAGATTTGCATGTAGATGCTTGTGGAATACGTTGTTTGACGAGGAAAATAGGAAGACGAAGTGATAAATTTTCGGGTCTATATATTTCATTGTTATGTTTGTACATAAGTTGATAAGGTGAGGCGTGCCTATATGCATTGATTTTATTGATTTTTTTGTTTTAAACAAGCAATAAAATTTGTTGTTTTTTTGATTTCGCAATAGTGTCACATCAGCAGTGTGGTATATTCTTGTAGGAATATTTTAGATCATGTTGACTTTGACATTTCTTTTGAATTTTACATTTTTATACTTCCATTTCTTTACTTTTATTTTTATTTTCTCGTAATAGAAAAACCCGTTCTTTCATATGCGTTTATGATTTTACATCTCACACATTTTCTTTAAAAAATTTTCGCTCTCAAAT